CTGGGGGCTGGGGGCAAGCTTTTTGATCCCATGTGGTGCTTCCTTTCTTCCCGCTTTTATTTTCATGGGACGGCCTTTCCCGTGGTCAGGCCAGTGCATCAGCAAGTCTCTGGTTTGCAACGGGGATTCTGACTGTGACGAAGACGGCGCTGATGAAGACAGATGTGAGAATGCAGAGAGTAGACTCTCCTGCGACCTCGATAAACCTCCCCCCAACATTGAACTTACTGGAAATGGGTAAGGAGCTGGTCAGCCTCCCGTGCATATTGGTGGGTCATAGCAAATCACCTAATGGCCAAGCCTTTGGCTCAGAGCTCTTCGCCACATCCTGAAACAATTTTTAAATTCCTGTGTGTATACTCGTAAATGTATATGCGGTAAAATACAGAGGGACCGACTGTCCCAGGACTGTCCTGGTTTAAGCACTGAAAGTCCTGCATCCAGGAAAGCCTCACAGACCTGGAAAAACCCGAATAGCTGCTCAGATTGTTGGGGGAGCAGGGGAGAGAGAGAGAATTCAGTGAGGTAGGGCTACTGAAGAGACTGAAGACAAACACGAGAGCAGGGAAAGGAGAGGCAAAGCGGTATATTGGAATATTCAGGCTTAAAAGCAATTGCTCAAATTAGCTGGGAACTTTTATTTCCAAGTAAAGTTGGGACAATCCCGTGTTTGCCTTTTCAGAAAGAATTCTGAAGAATTTTTAAGGGTCAGACCCAAGTTAAGAGTTCAAGGTTTTAAAATAATCTATTATGGAATGATATGATTTTTTCTATGATATTTGAATATTCACTCACAGAGAAATGATAAAATTACTCTAAAGAGGATACCATTCAGCACGCTAAGAGGCAGTCAGTTGACATTTGTTGTAGAGAGCTCTTGCTCCTCAAGAGTAATCTTAATTGTGTTGGTTTTCTCTGTAGATTCAGTTCAAAGCCAGCTGTTGCCATAGATAGAAAAGGTCTGTGTGTTTCCCAAACATGTGCTGCGGCTGAAAGATGTTGGATTTTCCCAGATATTAGTTTTAGCTCCCACACCAAGCAAGGGAGGCTGGAGAATGTACTGTGTGCAGTAGGGCGGTGTTCTCTCCGTGTGAGCTCTCTCCAAGTCGTACTTAAACACAGTGCATGTCTAGAGTTCTCTAATGATGCCTTTTTCAGCAAGTGCTATTTCTGATTTTTCACCGCCTTCCTTTTTTTTAATTTTTAAAAATAAAACCAGTTACAATATTCTCACCGGCCAGTCCCGGAGCAGAGTCATCAACACGAAAAGCTTTGGTGGTCAGTGCAGAAAGGTGTTCAGTGGGGATGGACGAGACTACTACAGGCTGAGCGGAAACGTCCTCTCGTACTCATTTCAGGTACTTAATTACATTGATTTTTCTTATTTTGAACCTGTGAGATGTTGCCAGGCCTCATTATTTTCATGATATGTATATATATATTTTTTTGGTATTTTTGGAGAATGTACTTGTACCTAATATGTGGTCAGTTCTTAGAAATATTTTCTATGGACTTAAGAAGAATACCCATTATGGAACTCTGGAGTACGGGGCAAGGGTACTTTAACTTGTGTTATTTGAGCTGAAATCTCCTTCTGCCTCATTTTCATTTGCCTCTGCTCCATGTGGGCCCAGGACCTCATGGTCTGTAAAAGTCAAGGCCCTGGCCATAGCTTGTATGACTGTTTCCTCAGAGCCGCCACAGTGTACTGAAAAACACTTTTATTTTCAAATTGTGAAAGATTTCATACATACAAAAGAGTGTGAGTAACATATATGTGCAGCTGGGAAAAAACTAATAAAACAAATACCCATATATGCCCATCAGCTACCTTAAGAAATAGAACATTACCAGCAACTTAAAGGCTCTCTCTTACTCCTCTCTGACCAGTGCTCCCTCCCCTCAACTCCCCAGGCGACCACTATCTCACACTTTGGACAAATCATTTTCTTGTTTTTCTGTAATGTGTATTTCCCATGTCTTTGTCTATAAATTAAAATCTGTAATTTAGTTTTGACTGTTTTGGACCATTTAATATGTAAATAATGCACACAGTCTATATTCTTCCATGGACTGTTTTTTGTACCCAGAATGATGGTTTTGAGTTTCACTCCTGCCGCTGTAGATGGCATTTTCATTGCTGTCCCCAACTGTTCCTTACGAAAATGCCTCGAGCATCCCTGCCTGAGTTCCACGCCGATGAGGGGGGATTTCTCTGGGGCACGCCTGCAACGCGGGTTGCTGGCTGGCCCGTGACACTCTTGACCAGGGAGAGCTTCCGACGTGGAGGCAGCGGCTCACCCCCACCAGCCTTGTGGAAGAGCGCTCTGCGCCCCCGTCCCGTCCTGCCCACGTCGCCCGCACTGCCCGCCGTTACCTTCTGCTTATGGTCCCAGCGTGGCCTCTGGCTCCAGGCTCCTGCTTCTCCAGAGCCCTTTCTGCCAGACGCACCGGAACTCGGCCCGTTCCTTGATTTCAACACAAAATCTGCTGACGCAAAAACAGTTAGGGCTTTGGGGGACGTCCCTGAAGATCGTGGGGAATGCGGAGGAGAGGTTTTCCCATTGCAGTGGAGCAAACGCGTTCAACAGAAACAGTTGACCGCCTTGGTCTTAGCGGTCTGTCCTTCCACGTGCTCAACAAAATGTTGTTTCTGGTCTTATCCTGTGTTAGCCCGTCCCGCTCTCTGTCCCTCCCTTTAACCAAGGACACTGCTCTTACTTTGACACAGGCCCTGCTTGTCAGACACATCAGCTGGTAGCACCCACTGAGTGGGTTGGCAGTGGCCCCTGCTCTCGCCTCTTCCTTGCCGTGCCTCCTCCAAGATCTCCTCTCTCAGCGCTCCCCTCCCTTCTTCCCAGGATGCCCCAGATTTCCAACTGAGTGCTTCCTATCTATTACTCCCAAATTTGTAAACCAAAACTATTAGGGTGTTCAGACGGAAGGGCCCTTGTTTACCAAAATTAACCCCCTCCAGAAAGCAGTTTTGATTACAAATAGCAAAACTCGCCACCCTCCAACTTACAACAGAATACATTATATGTAAGAGTTACTGAATCATGAGAATGAAAAGTGAAACTGGTCTGAGAAATAATCATAGCTATCAATTTTTGAATATCTCCTGTGGCACCCGCACTGTTTCTCTCAACTCGTGTGGGTTTAATCTTTAGAAGACAAGTAATATTTTACCATTTTAAATATGCAGAGAGCGAGGCTCAGGGAGAGGGCCTTAGGTGACTTATTCCAAGTCACCGCATTGTTAAGCAGTGGAGCTTGGACCCAGTCTCTCGGACTTCACCACCCTTTATTTTTCTACTGTATTTCACTCTCCCCATGTATTGTATTTAACAGCATTTCAGTCCTAAATCTATGAGATGAGTAATATGCGTTCAGATTTCAGCGGTGGCCGGGAGGGAGAGTGTAAGCTAGGCCTTCATAGAGAATTTTTTTCTCCTTCTATTCCTAGGAGGATGTGTTGAGAATTATTTTATGATTACAAGAGGGGGAATTGAAAAAAAAAATATATTTTTATATATGTATTTGGGTGTAGTTTAGAAGGTTACAGGGCAGAGAAAATAATGAGGAAGAATGCTTCTGACCCAGCTGGAGGGCAGACATGCTGGGAGGGGCAGCTTCTGAGGAAGGGGAACCATTTAATAGCAGCACAACCCTGACGTGTTTCCCTCAGCCCGGCGTGGGGTTTGGGGTTGACACCTAAGGTGTCTTCTCAGTCACTGAATTTGTAGGTGCCTGTCAGAGTGGAGGGAAATGCTAGCTTGTTACTGACTGAAGAAAACAGATGCTCTGAGGACCCAGCCCGAGGGAAGTGAGGCGGGAGGATGGCGGCGAGCCGGCCGTGACAGCGCTAAACCCAGTGGTGGCTGTGGGGGTGACCTAGGGCCATGAGGTGTTCAGCTCTCCATGGGGTGGGAGGTGACTTCTGGTTAGCCAGAACATAAATATTAGTAAATAAACGTGTAAGAGAATCAGTCGGCCTCCCTTTGAGTCTCTGTGTTGGTTATCAGCAGCAGAATTTATTCAGGGCAGACCCGGGGTCAGCCACTTACCTTGATGAAGCATAGTCTCTGTCTCCTCCTATTTTTCACTTCACAGGAAGCCTGTGGAACATCAGCACGATCCCGCCCCATGGTCCCTTTGGGAAGGTGCCAGTCTGTGTAGTTTATCCTGGGAGATGGTCGGCAGACTTGCATTTACTCTCAGTATGGGATGAGTTGCAGATGGGAGTCAAGATCGGGGTGGAGAAAATTAATACCTTCCTGGATCCTCCTGTGTTTGGTCTTGAATGTACTTCCTATCCACATATCAAATGAACTACAAAAACGTATTCTAAAGCCAGTTTTGACTAGTGCTTAATTATCTGATCTTCTGCTGCTTCTGTTGGTTGAGTTTAGATATCCAAGATCTCTAAATCTAGCTTGTTCGGCAGGAATAACTTAAATAATAATAATGAAGATAGCTCACATATGTTAAAAACATGGGGTCCGGGCTTAGGCAGTGTGACTCCAGAGCCCTCGCAGTGCTCCCTGCTTTGGTGGGGTTAGAATATGCGTACGTGTTGATAGGAACGAACCAGCAGAGGGAGAAAAGTTGAAGCTGTAGGAGGGGGAACGATCAATTAGTTGAATAAGTCTTTTGAAGGGGAGGGAGGGAATGAATACAGTGAAGAAATAGAGAAATTAGCCTCAGACAGGAGGAGGGACACTTATGGAGGAAAGGGGGGAAAAAAGAAATGTTAATAACTTTGTAGATTTGTGAGCCAGAAGTTTAAGAGGACTCCATCTGACAGTGGGAGGAAGAGGATAAGTTCATCTTCTTAGAGTTAAGGAAGCGGTTGTAAGATTGGACAACTGAGGCAGCTGCACAACTTTTGAAACACAGGTGTTGCAGAGAATGAGAGAGAGAGAACTATGGGCCCACCAGATCGCGTGGAGGGTTCCACTGAGGTTGGAAATCCTGAATGGACTTAGAGCGGCACCAGTCTATAGAGTGATTTTTCTGCAGTAGTGCTGAGCAGTTGGTTGCAAACGTTGAACCAGGGTTAGGCGTTGGCCAGGCAACCATGATGGCAGGACGTATTTAGGCAAGAAAGTTAAGTTCTCTGGCGAGAGAATGGTTGAGGTCATAACTGCAACAGCAAGGAAGTGAAAAAATGAAGGGAGAAAGAAGGGAAAAGAAATTGATGAGCTCGTCTCTACGAAGCTGAACAACAGATATGTCAATAATAGAGTGAGAGTTGAAAGAGTAAGAGAGCTCAGAGGGTAGGATGTTGGAATATGTGATATCAGAGGGAGGATCAGGTTGAAGGAATCCAGGATCTGAGCTGGAAGGAAGAAGGTATCAATTAAGGGTTCTCGCAGTTGTGTGTGGAGTAGATGGCAGTGAGGAGATGCTCAACTAAGCAGCTAAGAGGCTTACTCGCATCGATTGTAACAGAATTGGAAGGTTAAATCTACCACGGAATCGCACAGAACGTTCCAAAACACAGTCCAGGTAATCCGATTGCATTGTATAACCTATTTGCATCTCTGTTCCTCTCTATTAGGCAAAAAAGATCAAGAACCAAATGCTTTGTTGTTCTTTTTTTGGTGTAGCCTTGTTAATTTGCTCACTTCTTTTTAAATATATTTTTATTGATTTTAGAGAGAGGAAAAGAGAGGGAGAGATAGAAACATCAATGATGAGAGAGAGCCATTGATTTGCCACCTCCTGCACGCCCCCTACTAAGGATCGAGCCTGAAACCCTGGCATGTGCCCTGACCAGGAACTGAACCGTGACCTCCTGGTTCATGGGTTGACAACCACTGAGCCACGCCGGCTGGGCAGTTTGCCCACTTCTGAGCTAAATGTCGACTTTAAAGGAAAATGGAAGATGTTTGTTCACAGATGTATTTTGAGAATCACTTGGGATTGCTGTTATTGATAACATGTTTCCTGGTTAACAAAGAGTAGTTACAGAGTGAATTCTATTCCTTATACTCAGGAAGGTCTGGTCTTCATGGGAGGCACAGTTGTTTTGTGTCAATGAAGAGCTTTGTCTTTGGGAGACTGTAGGAAGAAAGTATCCGTATTACAGGATCTATGACAGAAGGTTCTTGATTGTGTCCAAGGCCTTAATTTAGTTACAGCAAAATTTTTCATTTTCTTTATAGGTGAAAATAAATAATGATTTTAATTACGAATTTTACAACAGTAGCTGGTCTTACGTAAAAGAAACATCAACAGTGACTTCATCATCTACAAACAAACGCTCCTATTTCGGAATTTCATCATCATCTTCTTCTTCAAAACGTGATTATTCAAATTTCAAGGAAAATCAGAAGAAAAAGGTTAGTATGAAATATGAGTTAACTTTTCAATATTTTACTGGCTTAATTATTTATAACATTGACAAAAGTGTGTTTACCAAAAGGACCAGCTTTCATTTTTTAAAAAGGGCAACAGTATCTTCTTCAAAGAGAAAATACAATATGTTACTTTAAAAGGTATGAGCTCGTCTTATTAATTCTCTTTGGTATATTTATTTATACTTTCACTTTTTTTTCATTAAAGTATTTGTACTTATTTGAAAATCTAAAAAAAAACTTACCTTCAAATCTTCTAGTTAAAACTTTCTTAAATTTCTCACCCATGATTACCAATGCTACTATTTTAAGTGTTATAATTTTTAAAATCCACTTCATTTAGCTCCCTAAATACTAATGCTAGAAAAAATTTAAAATACTGTATTACTTTTGTGATACTTACATTTTCATATGAGGAAGTTAAAAGGCTTGCGATACTTTGTTGTTTTGACATTTCAAAACTTGTCTCGGGCAACCTGAACAGTGGATGTGAATTGTGTTAAGTGCTACACGCTTACTGCTGAAAAAAAAATTCAGGCTGATCATTATTGATAATCTGCATATTTTATCTCATTCTTAAAGTCAATAACTTGCCTAATAAATCACACAAGGGAGGCATAAAAGAATATTTTATCTGTTTTGTGACTAAGAAGTGGGAATATGAGCTATAAAAACATTGATCATGAACATTGTCCACATAAGTGAGGATTCGGTATAAGGCAGATTTGTCTTGAACGGCATCAAAAGATGCTTAAGAAGCAGTTAAAAGACCACATTATAAAGTGGCTTAACTTATAAATACTTCAGTATGGGCCATCTTTATACGGTCACCCTACCTTAAAGTCATCACCAAGATGTGGATCCCAAGGACACATTATTTTATATACTTACCTGTGAAATGATTTCGCAGTCAATGAAGTGGGTTCTCGTTTTGCCGTTGAGGAGGGCCTAACACCTTGGTCACGGGGTTTTAAAGGTCACACATAAAAGAAATGACAATGACAACCCTCAAACACGATTCCTACTTGGGATTCCAAAAATTCCTTAGAGCGCTCTGAGTAAGTGGGCCCCAAAGAGGCCTTGTCGCGCGTCAGAATTAAAATCCACGGAGCCTGGGTGGAAGGCGGCGCTTGATGCAGGTGGCAGGCGGTGGAGACGTTGGACGGGGAGCTATCTCCGCTGCCTTTCAGCGTCGACCCGAAGCTCCTGTCACTCTTTCGCCTTCCCACAGAGCTACCAGCTGCTGGTGATACAGAACACCGTGGAGGTGGCCCAGTTCATCAACAACAACGCGGAATTCTTGCAACTGGCCGAGCCCTTCTGGAGGGAGCTCTCCTACCTGCCCCCTCTATACGACTACAGCGCCTACCGAAGGCTGATCGACAAGTATGGGACGCACTTTCTGCAGTCCGGGTCCTTGGGAGGAGAGTACAAAGTTCTCTTTTATGTGGACACAGAGAAAATGAAACAAAGAGGTAGAGTATGTATTTTTTTCCATGTTATAAAAGCATTGCAGGGATGGTAATGGGGAAATAACGTGTAGCTGTCTTCAACTTTGGAGCTCTAAAATAAGGCGAATAGAAATCAAGTTGCAAAGGCATCCCAAGCTGCAAGAGTCCGGTATATTTTACTCAAAATCTTACAGGCTTTCAGAAAAGCTTGCCTGCTCTTTTAGACAGTGCCCTGAAATGGGAGTTAAGCCATTATCATTATTGATTATTTCCAGAGGGTGCTGATTGGGTTTTTAGAATTCTTTTTTCTCCCGTTTCTCAGATTAAATAATGTTCCTCAGGGAAAGCAAATGAGAAATGGGCTGTGATTACAGAAATCAAGATTTTTAAAGAAGTATTTTATTTACCTGTCTCCTTTACCACTCACATTCCTTTAAAAAAATCTGCTCCGGCTCTCACAAGCTGGCTTGCTCCCTAATCCTTGTAGCAACAGCTTACATTTCTTGGCTGCCTTTCCCACGGAACCTGGGTTACGTATGTTGGCAGTTACCCAGTGAGACAGCCACTGTGATTCTTGCCCCACAGACTGAGACACGGAGACTCACCAGGGGCCACCGAGATTGTAAGATGTTCTGACTGCCTCCAGGGCCAGCTCAGNGGCCACCGAGATTGTAAGATGTTCCGACTGCCTCCAGGGCCAGCTCAGTGCTTTCCTCCTGCTGTGCGGCTGGTGGAGGTGCCTGGCCTTTGCCGGAACCGGAGCCTGCCCCTGAGCTCAAGCTCTGATCCACAGTGAGACCCCCCTGCCCCACTGTGGGAAGGGAGAGCGTCGCGTCTTACTCTCCGCTTGTCCTCTCCAGGGTCCTTTTGACCTTGATTTACTCATGTCCCCAGTCAGACCTGTTCCTTCCCAACTTTGACCTTAAGCTGATGCCTTCAGTTTCTTCTCCAGCCCAAGTCATCCCCTCAGGATGTGTCTCATCAGGGAAGACTCCCTCACAACCCTGGAGGAGAGTAAGACTTCTTTTTTTTTAACAAGTTGTTTAAATATTTCACGACAGCAGCAATTTAAAAACGTTAGGCCGCACAGTTCACTTCCTTTTCCATAACAAGAAATAATTAACGAATAGCTGTTACTAAACCGCGACGGTAAAATTAGAGCGGTAGGTTTAAAAAATTGATGTTGCAGGATTCAAGTCAGATGTCTACTTGATATAACAGTGGATAGGGAATTATGTGGAAACGTCCCAGATTGTTTCATTATAACTTTCCCAGAGGGAATGCAAGGCAGTTTCCCAGACCTATCATCCTATGATAGTTGCTTTCACGGTAAGTTTTAGAGGGAGTGAGAGTAAGACTTCTTCATGAGATTCAGAGGAGATCTCGTTGCCTCTCCTGTGGGTGAGCCAGAATATTTTTCTGTTTCCATTAACTAATTTTTTCCATTGGGCTTTCATTTTTACCAGTTAACATTTAAGTAGTATTTGAACTCTTCTAACTTCACAGGTTGGAAATAAATTGCACAAGCATAGGTTTTGTAGCAAAGACAGAGGCAGTATTTCTTCGGACAATTAATCTAGAAAGTGGTCTGATTTAGCCGGGTCGGGCATGACTCCCCGGTTGGGCATGGACCTAGGATCCAGGAGATTGCAGTTCGATTCCCGGTCAGGGCACAGGACCGGGTTGCGGGCTCCATCCCCAGTCGGGGGCGTGCAGGAGGCGGCCGATCAATGCCTCTCATCGTTGATGTGNCCAGTCGGGGGCGTGCAGGAGGCGGCCGATCAATGACTCTCATCATTGGTGTTTCTCTCTCTCTCCCTCTCCCTTCCTCTCTCTGAAATCAGTAAAGATATATAATTTTTTTTTTTTAAAAAAAACAAAGTGGCTTGATTTAAATTCAGTTTCACTGTTCTCCCCCTNTCTCTCTCCCTCTCCCTTCCTCTCTCTGAAATCAGTAAAGATATATAAATTTTTTTTAAAAAAAAAACAAAGTGGCTTGATTTAAATTCAGTTTCACTGTTCTCCCCCTTTTTTTCTGTAGCACTTAAAAGAAATGGAGAGAAAAAATTTTTAAAGCTTTTCAAGTTGGTAAAAGTTTTTTGTTTTGTTTTTTTGAGTAAAATGTTACTCTTGANAAGCTTTTCAAGTTGGTAAAAGTTTTTTGTTTTGTTTTTTTGAGTAAAATTTTACTCTTGAGCAGTTCCTGTTCTTCCTAAATGGTTTAATTTAAATATAATCAAATTTTTGGGGATACAATACAGGGTGGGGCAAAAGTAGGTGTTGTGAGTATGTAAANTTGTTTTTTTGAGTAAAATGTTACTCTTGAGCAGTTCCTGTTCTTCCTAAATGGTTTAATTTAAATATAATCAAATTTTGGGGGATACAATACAGGGTGGGGCAAAAGTAGGTGTTGCGAGTATGTAAAACACAGAGTTTAATCTTATATTATTATTTATTAACTATTGCATTTTTTTCCATGTGCACAACTGTAAGCCTACTTTTGCCCTGCCCTGTATATGCCCCCAAGTGTTCTTTAAGAAACACTGAGGTTATAATTAGTACAATTATGTAAGAAAAAGATATTTCCACACTTTATTATTTTCTATCCTCACTTTATTAAAAAAATAAGTGCATTGGATAATGAATTGTAATTTTCACATACTGCGGTTCTGAGTCAGGGGGAGGAAATGTTGGAAACCAGATGTTAAAGGTAGAGAGACTGAGGCTATAGAAATAGGGTTTTAGGAATTAATTGCTGTAGAACCAGAACCCAGCTTTTGGGGTCCCCAGTAGATGGGCTGGAGGCCGTCACTGCCTATTTCCATCTANTTAATTGCTATAGAACCAGAACCCAGCTTTTGGGGTCCCCAGTAGATGGGCTGGAGGCCGTCACTACCTATTTCCATCTATTTGCTTTATGCCTGAGAAGCTGACTATGGATGGGTGAAAGACATCACTGCTTTGGGTATTTAATTTCTGCTCCCTCCACTGTTTCACATAGAAATTACCTGCATCTCCTTCTGTCTGTGGTCAAAATTAATAGGAGCCAATACTGTCTCAACCATTTGAAACTAAGTGTAGTGTCTGCTTTCGTTTAATAACAGAAATCAAACAGCCCTGTTCCTGACCCTTGACTCTTCTGGAGCGCCTGAAAAGGCCCCCATCGTATCAGTCTTGATTAGATGGGCACACTTGTGGGAAACATCCTCTGATCCTCTCTCATCATACCTGGCTACATCTAAAAGGTCTTCAATAAATATAGAAATTAAGCACCTTTTTATTTTTCCCAACAGGCCTTAGCTCAGAAAGTATGAAGGAATGTAGTTCCAAAAATGTCAACTTTGTGTTTGTTACACAATCTTCAAGCAAATGCAAGGAGCTAGAGGACGCCTTAAAATCGGCTACAGGTAAATGAAAACGGGGCAGTTTGCACGACAAGCTTCACCTCCATCCCCCTCTTTTTGGTTAATTCCTGGTTGCCAAAGTCCTTAGACATTTCAGCAGGTGTCCCATTTTGTGTTTGTCACATGTTTGGTTATTTTTGCCTCTGATCGCTCTTTCATACGTCAAGGTAATAAGACTCAGGCAGAGTGAGAAGTTCCCTGGGGATCTCCTGTGGACCGTAAATATGTCCTCAGGGTACACTACCTCTCTCCCATATGGTTACGGTTGGCAAGCAAGCCTAGAACAATGTCACCATCAGGAGAAGGTTCGGGTTTGCTCTGTGACATGGATGCTCAGTGAGGTTGGCGTCTGTGGCGCATGCCCTTGGTGGTGGTGGTGGTAGGGAGGTGGGGAGCCTGGGGTGCTAGCCTTTGAGTGAAGCAGCGATAGGAGAGTGACTTAGGCTGTCTAGATGTCAAGCTAAAGAGTGTGGCTTTCATCCTGATGCCAGGGGTGCCAGTAAAGGATTTAATACAGGGAGCGAGTAAATGAACGTTTACAAAGATATAAAGTGGGAGAGAAAGAAGAAAGACTGAGAAAGAACAGCCTGGTAGGATAAGAGCCAGACGAGATCGACAGCTGGGGAAGTCAGGAGAAGGGAAGGTCCACGAAGAGAAATGCTAGAGAGCAGGCAAGTGAGAAGAGCACTGAAGACTCTCCCTTGGATTCGACGGCAAACACCTACCTGCCTTCAAAGGAGAGACTCCGAGTGTGGTAGGGGCAGGGGGGAGGCCCCGTGCGAGGCCGCGGGCTGAGCGGATCTGGAGATGAAGTTCTCCTGGGGTGATGGCAGAAACTGGGGAGAAAGCGAAGACTGACCCAGCTGCCAGAGTTCTCATCAAAGAAGTGGAGATTCTCGGAATATTGGTGGGTGACTGCAAGATGGGGGAGACAGCCTAGTAAAACCAAGTTTATTTATTCACTCACTTCATTCATCAACTATTTATGAAGCCCATAGTTTGTGGCAGGAATTGTGGGCAGTGGGGATGCAGCGCTGAATTTGCCAGAGAAAGGGCCTCTCCTCAAGGGGCTGACGCGACAGAGGAGGAGTGCAGGTTTTGAACGAGATGGAAACATCCTGATCTGGAAATAGAAATGGACGTGGGAGCTTTGGGAAGATGTTGACATCAGTTGTCAGCGGGCTGGGAATTGGAAGCTGTTCACCGATTTTATTTCATTTTGTATTTAACAAACACACAGCACTGTGTGCCCAGCACAATGTTAAGTGATTTACAAAAATTAACCAATATACTCTGTCTGTCTAAGAGTTAGGTATTATTCTTGTTCCCATTTTACAGATAGGGGCACTGAGGCACAAATGCATGAAATCCGGCTTCACCATCTGGGCTCTGGGCTGTTGCACCAGGCTTGCTGTCTAGGGGAAGAGAGCCAGCCGCAGCACAGAGCTCACTGGCGTGTGGACAGGCCTAAAAATAAACATGAAAACAGAATTTTTAGAATGTGTAGTTCATAAACAGGGGTTCCAGGTGACGCAATGATTCCCAAACTTTAGTATGCATGAGGGCTACTGGGGTAGGCTGTTCAGTGCCAATTCCAAGGCGATTCTCTCACAGCTCTTGCTTGGGGCTCAGAAGTCTGCGGTCACCCCCGGTGACCCTGGTTCAGGTAGTTCAGGGGGTGAACGTGGTGATACACTTCATTGAAAGGGTGACTATTTGCATATTAAAAAGTAGCTGACAACGAAGATGAGGAAGCACTCAGGCAATTTATTTAAAACATCAGGCTTTAATAATTTCCGATGATAAAACTGCAATTTTTGAATTTGTAAAACCTTGTGAAAAATTTTATGGAATTTAGTTAAAAGAAAGGAAATGAAAATCACCCCAAATGTGATCTGCAAGTTAGGACTTTCTTGACATGACCCGTGTAAAAATCAATTGCAAGTGAAGATAAAAATATTTCTGCAATTATAAGGCACATAAATGGAAAAAAGGATTCAGTTGGTATTCAAACGTTTTAGAACACTTTTCAATGGCTTTTTTGCTTATTGTTAGTATTCCAGGTGCAATGAGCTCCCCCCATTTTATTATGAAAAATTTTAAGCATACAGAAAAGCTGAAAGAACAGCGTAATAAACACCCACACACCCACCTCCTCTGTGCAACGTTTATTATTTTGACATTTTACTATGTATAGCTACATATAATATTTATAATATGAACTATTTAGCAACGTATAAATATTATATGCTTAAAACAGTTGTAGTATGTGTCGAGCCACTTGGAAGTAACATCATGATGAGTCGTCTGTAAATATAAGCACGTGTGTTCCAAGAAACAGCATCCCCGTCTATCACAACACCTATTACCCTGAGAACAGTAAGAACGTGAACGATGACTCCCCAGGGTCATCTCCTGTTGGATAATGACTATTTCTTCTTTTTTCTTTTAATAGATATTAATCTGTAGAGCAGTTTTAGGGTCACAGCACAGTCGAGCGGAAAGTCCAGAGAGTTCCCGCGCACGCCCCCCATCTCCCACTGTCAGCACCCCGGCCCCGAGGGCCCCGCGTCACAGCTGATGCACCGCCACTGACACACTGTTACCGCCCAAAGCCCACACTTCACACGAGCCTTCATTCTTGCTGTCGTACATTCGATGGCTTTGAACAAATGTGTGACGTGTGTCCGCCACTATCGTATCACAGACAGTAACCTCACTGCCCTAAAAACCCTCTGTGCCCCCCGCACTCACCCCTCCCCCGGCCCACGCCTGGCAACCGCTGATTTTTGTTTACTGTTCCATGGCTTTGCCTTTCCCGGAGCGTCACACAGTCGGATGGGTTGTGTCTCAGGACTCGACGGACTTTTCCCGTTGTTTACGCTCCCGTTTTCATCCGTGCACCTGACTAACGTCGTTCGATTCCTCCTTGCGTAGCGACCCACAGCAGCATGCTGCGAGGGCTCCCGTTTGTGCGGGGCGGCCGTGCGGGCCTGGCGTCCGGCCTGAGCTTCCTGGAGCTGGATAACCCCGCCGGCAACCAGAAGCGCTATTCCTCCTGGGCCGGGTCTGTCACCCAGCTTCCCGACGTCATCAAGCAAAAAGTGGGTGATGCTCTGTTTTATTTATTATTATTACTATCTTTTTAAACCTCACTAGAGGATATTTTTTCCATTAATTTTTTTAGAGAGAGTGGAGGGGAGGGAGGAGAGGGGGTGAAAGAGAGAGAGAGAGACATTGATTGGTTGCCTCCTGCACTTGGGCCTGCAACTGAGGTCCATACCCTTGGCTGGGCATTAAACCCAAGGCCCTTTGTTTCGTGGGCTGGTGCTCTAACCACTGAGCAAACCAGCAGCAGTGCTCTGCTTAAAGTAGCAGGAAGCAGTCCTGTTGATCTGCACCGGGAATATGGGATTAAATCAAGGTGGTCAAACAGGGAGGGCTGTGACCAGCATTTTCTGAGTCCCAGTTTATGTTCTGGGTGATAAAATTAATATGTGCGTAATCTTAAAAAACAGAAAGTCTGTAACCTTGTATGCCCATATTTCAGGTGTAAAGGTAAAATGTCTTGTCAATCCCAAGAGAAATTAATGACAAAATTTGCATTTTAAGCTTTTGCCCTGAATTTGATTGATCTCTTTGGAGCCTGATTCCGAGGAGCCGCAGACTCTTGCAAGAGGAAGGTGCTTGGGCTTGTTGTGTTTGTCAGGTCCCCTTCTTCCTGTGGGCTTCTGAGCTCCTGGAGTCATGCAAACCAAGACAGAGCCGATTTGGCTGGGGAATTTTAGGATGTTTTATTGGTACAGCCAGTCCTTTTATAATGCAACAACTGTGTTCCTAAAAGTCAGAGAGCTAGGAAAAATGGCAAAATTAAAAAGACTGCAGGGTTTATGGGGAAAATGGGGTTAGGGCCACAAGGCTAAAAATCTAATCTGTGACACTCATTTTAAAAAATATATAGGCACCAAAAAAAAATTAAAATAAAAACGAAACGAAACGCAGTGGCACAGTTTTATGTATGTTAATCGTTAAGAAATGCATTTACTATTATAAACGTGGCACATTAGAGAAAGATCTGACGCTTGCTGGGTGAGGGAACAGCTACAGCTTGTGAACTGTCGTGAAGTGGTGGGAGGACAATCTGAAGGGACAGGGAGTTTAACACCGGGCGTGGACGGGTGTCGTTTATCACACAGGCGGTGAACCAGGTGGGTGTTTGAGGTGTTCGTGTGCTTTGTGTATTTCTATGCGGTTTGGCTCAGTCGTATCCAGTTTTCTGTGTTCACCTGGTGTTCCTTGTAGACAAAATTGTACATAAGAAAAAGCAATATTTGTGTGCTGTGCTTAGATTGTTCCTTAATTCAACAATCTCAGTGGAACAAATTTATATTTGCAAAAACAAGCGCTATAGCAGAATTGATTCTATGATCTGTTCCCTACCATGGGAGTCAAGCATCGTCCAGGTGAAACTGGCTCCCAGAGATTAAGATACTTAGGCAGATGTTATAAATNTATGATCTGTTCCCTACCATGGGAGTCAAGCATCGTCCAGGTGAAACTGGCTCCCAGAGATTAAGAAACTTAGATGTTATAAACNCAGATGTTATAAATTGAAAAACTACAATAGCTCCTCAAGTTACCCCCAACACCCTTCTGCACCCCCTGGCCTCCTGATAAGGGTGGTGAGGGAGGGGGAATTTCCCCAGGACTCAGGAAGATTCAAAGTGGCTGATTTTCATTGTCAGCATCCCATACAAATCTTTACAAATCCTAAACTGCTGATTAGGAAAGAAAAGATTCCTTTGCATTCTCAACTATGCACTTTTGCACGTAGGTCTGGGGCTGTCCCAGCCGGCTGTGCTCACTCGTTAGCGGCACAGGAAAGGAACAGGGGAATTAGGGACACGTCACGGCTCTGTGGCCATGGGGTGCCGTCCCGTCCGGTTCAGAAGGGCTGGGGCAGAGATGGGGCCAGTGCGGCCGACTCTCTGAGTTCATCACGGTCGGTGCTGCAGCTGGCTCGTGCTGACTCTCTCCTGCGCCAGCGATGACGCACTTCTCTTCCCATTTCTGTGCCCGTGACGTCATGGAGGGTGCCTGAAATCAGCATGGTGACAGTAGTCACACTGATGCTACAAATCAGAGCCCCTTTGTTCCTGGGAGAGCAGATTGTTAAAGGTTAGCCAGGGCGCCCATGGTCTCCAGCATCGGGCATACCCAGCATAGAGTGATAATAATGCCCATGTGGTTTAATTTCCAGGGAGAGAGAGGGATGGTCTCCACTCGAGAGACCTGTGAAGGCTCAGAGGCAGGGTATTTAATTTTAAATTCAATTGCACATGCTGCTTTACTGTGACGTAAGTGTGCTTCCTTTTCTTCTGTCCCCTGCATGGGAGGAAATGTATTGTCTTTAAAACGATCCTGCAATAACTAGAAAATGAATGTCCTGTTGGTTTTTAAAAGAATTTTATACACGCACACAAAATGCAAAAAATAGTCCTTCCCTATCTGGTCCTAATTTTCCCTAGATTTGTCTTACAAAGAAAGTGAGTTGTTTTCTCTTTTAATTTGAACAGGAAATAGTTGGAATTAACATACGAGTGGCTTTCGATTTTGTTTTGGTGGGGATTGAGCTTAAGTGTCAAAAGGAAAATACTGTCCCGTGAAACCCTGACTTCCTGGCTTCTGACTGTGACGTCTCCACCCGTCTAGCTGACACCTTTGTATGAGCTGGTGAAGGAGGTGCCCTGTGCCTCGGTCAAGAGACTCTACCTGAGACGGGCTCTAGAGGAATACCTGGACGAGTCTGACCCCTGCCATTGCCGGCCTTGTCGGAACGGTGGCCTGGCCACCGTGGAGGGGACCGAGTGTCAGTGCCATTGCAAACCGTACACATTTGGTGCGGCCTGTGAGCAGGGAGTCCTCGTAGGGGATGAAGCAGGTCAGTGCGCTGAATTTTCTCTAGTTCCCCTGGACCCGTTGAAAAGGGGGATCCCCTTTCCCTCCTGCCCCTGAGACTGCACTCCTCGGTGTATGGAGGGGAGGTGGTCTCACCGGCATTTTAATTCAGTGTCTCCCCCCCTTTAGAACTTTAGAACAGGGTCTGTGAGGTTACTTCAAGAGTAGGCCACGTATGAGACAGCTTATGGGTATTTATTCTCATTTTTATTTATATGTCCCTCTCCTCTAGAAAGCTCGTTTCTTAAGATCAGGACTGTTTGATTTCTTTCTTTATTTCCAGAGCCTGACACAGAGCTCGATTTCTAGAATTCACTTAGTAAATGTTTGATAAATGAATAAATACATGACTAAACTGTGGATGCTTACAGACAAGCATCAGGAAGGCATCCTTGCCTCCAAATGTTTCTCCTCGTGGAAAAATTCCACCACGTAGCCTTTCCTTTGTGGCCTGGATTTCCAGTTATTTGATAAAGTGGAAGCTTCCCCTGCCTATAAGGAATGGAGTAGCAATCACAATATACCAAGCTATTTATTACCCCTCTTCATAGATCCAGGGGGCTACTTTATTAGCTCAGTTTTTAATTATGGAAGAAAGCCTAAGGAAGGTCGTGGGAAAATATTATACAGATGAGCTTCGTTTTGGTGTGTGACACTGAGGAATGGGGGTGAAGTGGGGGGCGCAGAGGGATGTAGGCTGCACAGTAGAGAAAGCTAAGGACCAGTCAACACACCCGTCTATTACCGGAAAATAATGCTTTGGAAAATGGTTTCTGAGGTCGGTTTCTAACTAGTAAGGCCAAGTTCTTAGAATATGGGACAAGTTCTCTCTTGCCGCCCCCCCAAGGAATGTGATGGGGGAAATACTAACAGGACTGTGAGTCCTGCTTCGGCCCTGAGGGGAAGGCAGCCAGGGCGGGTTGGGGAAGAGCCTTGTGTAATATTGGGGAGGGATGCTGCTGGGGTAAAAGCCTCCCCCAGCTCACACTGCCGGCCTTGCACAGCGCCCGCCCTGGGCTTGGCGGCCGGGAGCACCCAGGACGTTCCATCCTTCTGCCCTGACGCTGCTCTAACAACAGCAACTTACTTGCTTTCTTGAGAGACCGGGGCGATGACCAGAACCTGAACTCGGATGTAAGACCGGGGTGCAGTCTGGATGTGGCTCTTAGCAGCCACTATAGCCCCGGGCACGGAATTACCCCACTTTGTGTTAGATTCCCCACCTATCGAATAAGTGGTAATGGGCCTTCTGCCACCCTGGAATCATTCTTGTGAGAAGTAAATAAGTGGTAGAATGTATGTGACAATGTTTTGAAACGGTTGTGCAGTGATAAACGAATTCAAGATAATTTTGCAGACGCTTGTTAGCGCAGCCTTGATATGGACGACCCTGGTCAGCGTGCAGAGCCCTGGCCTTGTAGGGGGCCTCAGCCAGCGCTGAAGGTACTAGACCCTAGGCCGTCCCCTCCCCCAGGGCCCACGGGAGCGGGAAGCTTAGCGCTGAAGCCTGGACCCTTCCCTCCAAGTGCTTTCTGACCAGCCTCTTCTCGTACAGGAAAGGTTGATGGAGGCTGGAACTGCTGGTCCTCTTGGAGCCCCTGTGTTGCAGGGAAGAAAACAAGGCATCGGGAATGCAACAACCCCCCTCCCAGTGGGGGTGGGGCGGCCTGCATCGGAGAAACGTCGGAGAGCAGGCCCTGCGGAGAGGGAGACGAGGAGCTGGAGCACCTTCGGTAACGAGACCAGGCCACCCAGCGGGCGATGACATGGAGCAGTGTCCCTGCAGTGCGCGCGGGCCACGCGGCGGCTGCTACTAGGAGAGTTAAACGTTAAATGGCGATTTTTATCAATGACCGCTTTGCCCTCTAGCACTGGGGTCAGTGGAAGGACGGAGGCGTGTCCTGGCCACCCTGCTCTTAAGGTCCAAGCTTTCCGGACACATCTTTACGAGAGGCTGGGGACCTGGGAGGCAGTCTGGCCACATAGATAAGAGCAGCAGCGTTGGCGTCGAGTAGATCAGCCGCCTCCTGGCTGTGAGACCCTGGGCAAGTTACTTGCCACACGTCTAAAATTATTAAGATCATCATAGTAGATAAAATGAGAATAGGATGTTACCAGAATTAAAGGAGATTAAGCATGTAGTGATTAGTCCAATGCCTGGCACATAGTAAGCATTCACTAATAGTTGCATTACTTTTCAGATATACCACTCCTTCTTATTTATTTATTATTTGTTTATTCAGGAGTAACCATAATGCCAGATGCTTGAGATGCCTAATAGCTTTTCTTTTCTTTTTTCTATATCTTTATTGATTTCAGAGAGAGGGAGGGAGAGGGAGGGAGAGAGAGAGAAACATCAATGATGAGAGAGTCATTGATGAGCTGCCCCCTGCACACCCCCGACTGGGGATTGAGCCCGCAACCCGGGCATGTGCCCTGACCGGGAATCGAACCCTGATCGCCTGGATCCTAGGTCGACGCTCAACCGCTGAGCCACACCCAGCTGGGCTGGACAACTTATTCAAACTCTCCCAGCCTCTGTTTTCTCCACGTATCTCAGAGGTTACAGTGAACTGAGGAGGCAACACACATTTGTAGAGTGACTGCCAAGGTCCCAAACACACAGTAAATGCTCAATCAGAAGCGGTATTATTTTGTGTTACTTCTCTTGCAGGGTCACTAATTCTAATTACCTTATTGTTATTATTGTTTTTAACCCTCACCTGGAGATAAGTTTTTCATTGATTCTAGAGAGAGAGGAAGGGAGAGGGAGAGAGAAAAACATTAACGTGAGAAACAGCGACTGGTTGCCTCTTGTATGAGCCCCAACTGGGGATTGAACCTGCAACCCAGGTATGGGCCCTTGACCCGGAATCGAACCTGTGACTCTTGGTGCACAGGTCAAAGCTCCAACCAACTGAGCCGCACCAGCCAGGGCAAGTACCTTATTTTTAATACAGAATTCATTCTGTGTTAAAGAATTTCAGAACCAACAGCCATTAGGAGAAAAATTAAGTCTGCATCAGGTGACCCCTAGAAATCACATAAGTAGGTGTGTTGTCCAATGAAGGACTTTTCTTTTTCTTTCCTTTCTGCTGGTCCCCCC